AGGGTGTAAGTGTGGGGGTGGGGGTGAGGGTGTAAGGGTGGGTGGGACGGTGGTGGCTAGATACACCAAATCGACTCACATTCCTCAGCTTTCCAGGATACAGTTCTATTTGGGTATCGTGCTGGATACACTGATTCAGCTGCATATGGTAACGCAGTGAATTGTCTGCTTTTGGATGAATACCGGGTGTAACGGGATTATGACATCACTCATTGTAAACGTCAGTTTGTGTATTGCTGTTTGAAAATGGCAGCATTAGCTGAACACCTTGCTTCTCAACAAACTACTCGTCAATTCCTCATGAAAGCCAATTCACTTATTGAAGATATTTCTGTCCAAGAAATTTGTGCAGATAACTTGGCGTATTTAAATAATGATTTCGATCCAATTATTGCCAGATATCAAGACAAGCTCAAAAGTCAACAGTCATTCTGCGTTGATGAGAGCATCTTTTGTTATATATCGGATATTTATACGGAAAAAAGATTTGATGCGTTATAGCGTTTTCCGGGAAATCCATTTTTGACACAAACATGGAATAAGAAAACTGCAATCCGTGAAAATACATAGTAAAGATGCTACAGGCTTTTATGAGATCAGACATACAGGGCATAATGGGCATATAAGGCATAATGGACATATAGGGCATAATCATGCTGATTATGCCCATTCTGATCGATAACCTTCACCCTCAATCAGAGATAACCCTCATCACCCACCTCCCTCACCGTCAATCAGAGATGACCGTCGTCACATAGAATCGCAAGGTTACACTTATGTAGTGCGAAACACTTCTTTGAATTTCCGTAAATTGAGCTGACGTCCGGAACATATCGAGTTTCCCGGAAATTGGATTGATGTTGAAATATATTCAATTTCCCGGCTAACGCTATAACGCATCATATGCAAGATTTTGATAAATAGCTTTTGACTCTCCTTCATGTACATAAATCGTAATTCCATATACTTCAACAATTCTCATTACGCCTAATACAAATGGATCAAAATCGTTTTGAAGTGAGCTAAAAATTTCAATATATTACGTCAAAAATATTTTACTTATAAATTTGTTCATCTAACCAATCTTTCTGCTCATTTAATACAAATTGTAATTGAATCCCTTTCATCTTCAGTGCCAAACAAACATCTAGATATCGCTCTTTCCATTGAACGATCAATTTCTCTAATATAAATGACAGGGAATCCATACTCATGAAAAAGACGTTCCTCTATGATGTATTTTCAATATATCATTCCAATGTAAGAACATGAAAAAACTATTCCGTATTGATTTTCAAATTGAAATAATTTTCTGTTGAAAAATTTCAAGTATTTATTGCGCAAATTTCTTGTTTGATTTTGATCTAATTTGATTCAATTAGCTTTTTTCTGTTCTTTGAAATTTTTTAATAAAAAAATCGATAAAATGAAACGTGCAAATACCACCAATGAAAATTCCATTAGTATCAACAACAAATGTAATCTATCAGTTGAAGGAGTTGTTGTAGCCATTAGCAATATGACACATAAACAAAACCAAAGAACAACTTCATTTTGGACAGCATTATTATGTCAATCAGATCAGAACATCATCCGAATCACCAAATATTTATCATGTAAACGCAAATGTACATTGCATGAAAAATTAGTTGAATTTTATAATAAACAAGATGGCTGTCAATTCAATAAACTGAAATTCAATACCGATGACAGTTATACTGCGACTGCAGAAACAACGGTAGCAGCAAAACAATTATCAATGAAACCGACTTGTTTAGAAGTCATTCCACTTGACCAAATTGGAAGTAAATGTGATGGTGAATATGTTAGTTTTCTCGCAAAAATTCTTGAAATCGGTTCTGTAAGTTCTATACAGTTTTGTTTGTTAAAACTTTCCATTCTAATTCAGGATGAAAGTGTAGTTTTTAGTAATGCAGAAAAACAAGTTTTGAAATTGAAAAGAGCGATTCTTGTTGCCGCTAAAACATGTTCCATATCCATGAATATATGGCAAGATCAATTTGATTTGATCAAGCAAAATTCAAGTTATAAAATTAAATTAGCTAAAGTAAAATTCTTCAACAACGAACTTTCTATAACAACAATTACTAGCACAACGTAAATATTTTTTCCTGCTGTTTTACATTAGTATACATTCATATTTCTTTCATATACCCCAAGATTTGAAGAAATTAACGACATGGGCGATATGCAATCATCTGAAATTGTCGAACTTGATCATGACATACATATAACTAGCAATATCGTTTCAATCGGTTTAATCGAACAAAAACCCATTTGTTCGAAATGTTTTTCTAAAGAAGTCGAAGCAACTGAAAGAAGCGTAAAACGTAAACGATGTAAGACAAGATGTATAACGAAAAACGATGTTCAAGATAATCGCCTAAAATTAACTATGAATACGTCTGATGATGAACCAGTAGAACTGATTATTGAAAAAGAAAAAATCAAAGAATTATTAGAACAATCTATTTATAATCATTTATCTCAAGAAGATCCATTAGAAAATGAATCAGTTTTATTAACATTATCATCAATCAATCTTTCAATTACGTACAATTCAAAGAATAAAAACATTATTAATATTGAAATTTATGACACTCAACATTAGAACAAAACTCAAAAAACGCTTTCCGAATCCTTTTCAAACTTTTCTTACATTCTTCTTAATGAAGTGCTTTTTCCTCTATAATAAAATATGATACTCGCAACATCAATTCATTTTGCGTTGATTCACTAAACAGTTTAATTCTTTTTTAATCTACAATCAGACCTCCATTCTCACACTGTTAAGTTTGATCGATTAAACGCTGTACATTCAAACTAAATTATTTACTTCAAACAACACCGATACAGAGCATTTGTTGTACCCAGGTCATTATGACACGGTCGGTTCCGGCCGGTTATGTTCGTTTTCCGACAATTTCCTTGCCGCCGGATTCCGGCCGGAAGTTTAAACGTAGGTTCCAGTCATTTCCTAACCGCTTCCTGCAAACTTCTAGCCGGAAATGGTCAGGAACTGATCGGATATTTTCATCTTAATTCCGGCCGGAATCCGGCGGCAAGAAATCTGCCGGAACCTACTGGAATCGGCGAAAACTGTGCCGGAACCGACCCAGATTTTAACGGATCCAGTCGTCGGAATTATCGACCTCGGTATATTAGTCAATCATCAATATCAAATGGAAATTCTGCGTACAAATCTTTATTATCGTAATCGCAACAGATCGATCGTGTTTCACAGTTTTAATCCCGAAAGGGATTACGCTGAAAGCTTTTTTCTTCTTCATTCTTATCTTTTGATAGAACAAAATCAATTATTTTGCGAGAAGCGATATTCTTTTTCATGACGTTTGTGTTAAAATAGACCAATAAGCAAATAAAAAAGCCATATTCGTTTCATTTAATTATTGTAAAATAAAACATCTTTTTTTCATAAATCAAAATGGATAGTATTCGTTTACGTTCAATTATTTTAAATTTACAAGATCGTCTTTCCAATGATGATCGAAAACGTCTTCATTTTTATCTTGGTAATGATGTTCCTCGAAGAATTCGAGATGATCCAACACTTGGCGGTACACTTAATTTAATGGATTCACTTTTTGATCAAGATATAATCAATGAAAAAGATTTTACTTATTTAATTGAAGCTTTTCACGAAATTCGTTGTTTTGATGCTGTGAAATTATTAAAAGGTCAATTGATTTTTTTCTACTGATTTCATTTACTTTTGAGATACCTTTTAGAACATTTAAATCGAAGTCAATCTACACAAAGCTTATCATTAATTATGCCACCCCTTTTTGAAAAACTTACTAAAGATCAAGAAGACGATGATAAATTGAGTTTATGTTCTAGTAAGATTATACAAAATATTTTCATTGAATTTCATAATATAAATTTAGATTATATTTGTCTACAAAATTTCACTAATCATCACGAAACGACAATTAATAATAATCAAATAAATCAACAAATCTTACCTAAAAGATCAGAAAGAAAGATATTATCTAAACAATGTCTAGTATTATTATTATTTCTTTTGTCTTTTGGTTTTTGTTTAATTTTTGCTATTTGGAGTCAATATGAAAATTACAAAATGAAAAATAATTCAAAATTGCTTATGGAAATGATACAACAAACAAAAACAAATCAAACAGAAACAATTTTGTTATGGAAACAATTACAAAATCTCGAAAAAGAGGTCTACCAAAAAAGTATGTCAAAAAGATTTTATCTAAAATTAAACGTAAACATGAGATTTATATTAGAAATCTAATTGATATTCGAATCATTGATCCAAAATGTTAGAGAAAGTAGAAGAAGTGATAAAAAAGAAAAGTTATCTGAAAGATGTTACTATTTCGTTTTTTTCATATTCAAAAAACGAGTAGCTGCCTAATTCGACTTATAATATAAGTGCCCAATTCCTATCACCCTTAGGAATAGAGTTAGATTTAGTTTTACTCATACATATATACACCCACACCCACATCCGGGGATATATCTCGATTGAGGGTGCGCGGTGGGTGTACACGGGGTATATCTCGTGGGTGTGGGGTATATATGTATAAGTAAAACTAAATCTATTTCTATTCCCAAACGTACAGGGGTGTGGGGGTATGTATGTATGAGTAAAACTAAATCTATTTCTATTCCTAAACTCGCAGGGGTGTGGGGGTATGTATGTATAAGTAGAACTAAGTCTATTTCTATTCCTATCTACTCATTTGTTATAAGTGTGATATAGGTATCTATTTATATTCGAATTGATACTAGCCTGTTGGGGGTCGACTTATAATATAAGTCGAATTAGGCATCTCATGCTATTTTTACCCCTTTTCATTTGGTAGGTTATCATTTGCCGGAAATTGCGGTTCCAAAATAGGGACCAATGTTGGGACCGCAATTTTGGGCAAATGATACACATTCTTTCATTTCCCAATTTAATCCGATCCGTATACTTGGTAAAATGAAAAACTGGAGTATTTTTATTACATTTTAATGCTAAATCTGAAGTAGTTCAGTGGATTTTATGTGTACATGGCCACTATCCGTATCCTACGATAAAAGACTATAATATGCACTTGTAAGACTATACATTATTAGCACTGTTTTATAAGAAAAATATTAGAGAAATGCAGTGAATCATGGCTGTACTGATAGGTCTTTGTTCAGGCTACATATTCATACTAGATGAAGGCAGTTAAAATAATCGTTTGGGTTATCTATGACTGCTACAATTGATTGCTTTCTGTAGATTGTGCTTCGATATTTAGTGCAAGATCATCTTTTTTACTTAAATATTCAATTTATGGTATTAACGCCCACTTTTTCATATATATATACCATCTTGTACAGTGTCAAAAGTTCTACAAAATTCACTATATCTAAAAGTCTTAAACTGTAGACCCGTGTGTCAAATCCAAACCACACTGTATTTCAGGCCCTATCTTTGCTGAATCCTTAGGGTCGAATATTGACCAAAAATGGAAGTTCGAGGAACAGTTTGAAATATTCATAGATTGACTCAGTTTTTTGCGCTGATTTTGAATACGATATTTTTTTGAATCAAATTAAGAACTTTTATCGACGAAATTTAGCACAAACTGAGGAAAAAACATTAATAATAGGGTCTGAAATACAATGTGGCTAGAATTTTACACACGGGCTCATATTTTACAATCTTTAGATATAGTCGATTTCGTAGGGCTTTTGATGCTCTACAAGATGGTATGTTTAAAAAAGTTGATGTATCATATAACAGATGTATATGCACTATAAAAGATAAATAAATAGAGTATATGACGAATATTTGATGCTACGTCGCGCCATTGATACTGTGATCGAATGTTTCATTTTACAGAAAGATAGCCCAAAAATTTTGCATAGAAGTAGCTTTGAATGATTTTGCATTTCTAACATTTTCCCCAAGGATAAGTACAGTTTTTCAGTAGCAATTTTTGGCCTAGAAAGGTGGAAAATGTTGAGTACTCAAAATACTTAAAACAAGAATATCTATCTTTTTTTGAATGAAATAACTAACTTTTTAAATGAAAATCAAAAGGGGCGAAAATGTGATCTTATATGCCTCCGTCCTTTCGTACTTGACACCAATGAGCATTGCTTACTGGAACAGCTTATATTAAACAACATAAATTAAAAATTTTTCTCATTATCCGAGCTATTTTAATAAAAATGAATACCTGAAAAACGTGTAATAACTATTATATCCCATCAAACGAAAAAAGACTCAATTCATCATATTTCGCATTTTGAATTCTGTGAAGGATTCTGCTGAAAGCTTTTTGCAGTACTATCTTCAACTTTACTAAAACTATAAGCAAAGATAAGCAATACTACTAGTATTACAGTGACTTTAAGTATATATTAATAGGTAAAAAGACGTAAATTGGTGTAGATGAGAATATAATAGAAAATCATATGCACACCGGCATTCTCATCCTCAAGACTATGAATGTCAGCTAATCGAAAGTTTTCGACATTATTCTTTTTTTTCTTACTTTAATTTAGCTTATAAAATGATCACAAACATCAGTGATCCTATATTTGGAATTTGGAATACAACTGTCGGTGGTGATAGTGCACCCTCAAATTCAATCAATCCTACTGATGCTGGTAATTATATGCCGTATCACCCTCCTGAAAAAATACTCGATAATCGTACGTCAACAAAATATTTGAATCATGGGAATGGAGACAGTGGTGTTTACAGTTCCACTAAAGGCGTTGGAACTGGGTTTTATATTACACCAAGAATTGGTTTATCAACCTTGAAAATGTTTCGATTTGCAACTGCTGACGATCGTGAAGATCGTGATCCACTGTCAGTCACAATAGAATGTAGTAATGCAACTAGCAACAATCTAAAAAACGGTTTCGTTTGGCTTCTAATTCATAATGGATCAACTGGCCTAATGCCTAATCCAGGTCGTAGGACATTTGGCATCGATCAATTGGTTGACAACAACAAAGTATGTGAAAGTTATCGTGTATTGGTATCTTCACAACGTGGATCGGATACCGGTGTACAATATAGTATATTTCATCTTCTTGGTTGGTATTAGTCAATACTATTCAACTATTGATATACAGTAAAACCTCCCTTAATGAACACTTCTATATAATGAACACCTCTTGTTTGAACACATACTCCGGTCCCCCCGATGAATTTTTGCTGTAAACTGACCTCTATATAATGAACACCTCCTAACTCTGAACAGTGAACGCTTTTTTTCGGTCCCAAAGAGGAGAAAACCTCTCTATAATGAACGAATGTACAAAAAAGTATATGCGTTTGAATGAAAGAAACCGAAGATAAAATAGTCTGTTGTAGTTTTTTTTGAATCAATGCTAACAAAACTCATTCAC